AGAAGAGAGGAGAGACCAGAGGGAGAGAAAGAGAGAAGATAAGAGTGGCGAGAGAGAGAGAGAGAAGAGAGAAGAGAGAAGAGACTAGAGAGAGAGAAAGAGAGAAGATAAGAGTGGCGAGAGAGAGAGAGAAGAGAGGAGAGACCAGAGGGAGAGAAAGAGAGAAGACAAGAGTAGCGAGAGAGAGAGAGAGAGAGAGAGAGAGAGAGAGAAGACAAGAGGGGCGAGAGGGGGAGAGAGAAGAGAAGAGAAGAGAAGAAAAGGGAGAGAGGGAGAGATTACAGTCGCGATTGTTTCCATTTTCATTCAGCGGTGCTTTTGTCGAGGCGTGTGAGATGTAACGAGATGAAACACTGATTCAATCTTGAAGGACATAAATCGCGGGGGATCGAGGTGCACCGGCCTTTTCAGACATTCACTCATTGGGAATTCATCGGTATCGATCGCGTTGCGTGTAAAGTCGAGGTGAAATACGGTGTTTCTTAAACTTTTCGAATTGAACTTTCTTTAATGCTATCAGGTTTTAAGCGAATTAAATATTGACAAGCTTCAGTGATACTTTGAAATTAACGCGTTCGGTATGGACCTGAAATTTAGGAAATGTTACGACCGGACGGTTCAATTTTATCAAAGAATTTTTTAGTTTCTAATTTTCGAAGCTATAAAATATAAGGTATAAAATAATGTGGTGATCCTTCTCTGTCTATTCAATCTTTTTTGTTATCTATGCTGAAGTGACCCACCGGTGGGTCACGTTGACAAACAAGAGCATCATTCGATGACCCACGGTGGGTCACTCCGTCTATTCAATTTTTGTCGTCCTCAGTGACCCACAGTGGGTCACGTCGAATGAAATAACAGCATCACTCGATGACCCACCGGTGGGTCACACCATCCAGAACACGTTAAATTCCCCCTAAAATACTCTAATCCTGACAATTCAATCTCCCCTACAAAGTGTCCAAAAATCCAAGTATCAAAGCCACAACAAAAACTCCCCATTTAACCAACAAACGCGACGAAGATCATCAATCGAGAGGTAACACAATTCCAGCGAACGTCCGCGATGCAAACGGCTCTAATCGTAATCGAAACCCAGCTCTCGTACCGCTCGTTTTCTCCTACTGCGTTACGTGCGCTGTTATCGTCGATAATTAATCGTGTTCGACCATCCATAGCCCATTATCAACTCCTAATTAACCGTATATCTCGAGCAGTATAAAATTTCTTCGCTTTAAAACCGGATACCACGAACGAGAGAGAGAGAGAGAGACACGTCCGTCCTGTGTCGAGAGTACGTTCCACTCGGTTCAGGAAATTTAAACGATCCCCTTTTACCGTTTAGGTCCCTCGCGAAACGCTCGAGTTGTGCACGTTGATCACAGCCGAAACGAGCTCTCACCACCCTCTCTGCGTTTTTGTTACCGTCGTCATCCTGTTTGTCTTGTTCCTTTCGAACGAACGTTATAACTCGTCTGCACGGAAAAATACGAACACTATACGCTTTGCAAAAACAATGAAATTCTTTTTTCCCGCCTTTAATATCCCACCTCTTTTTTGCCACGTTAAGCTTTGGATTTGCTGATTTTTCAACATTGATAAAACTGTGTGAAAGATGTCAAAGTGAGAGAATCTTTTTTTCTCGCACGGTAGAACTGCTTTCCCCAGGGATTTGATGTTTTTCCGCAAAATTGGAGAAGAGCGAAGAGGAGAGAGAGAGAGGTTGGGGGAGATAAGTTAATAATACAACTGTTGCTGGTTATTAAGGTAGGAAGTTTTTGAGGAGGGGAACACGTTCCCTCCATTCGGCTAATTACGGATTAAAAAAGCGGACTTTACGAAGCTGAAACGATACTCCACGCTTATTCAGATTCTCATCGCGTATTCACAACGTTCAGAAAGCTGTTTCGTTTCAGCCGCTGCTTTCGAAGCGGATTAAACTCCGTGAAATAGGACTTCTATCAACGTATCCCCGGTACCGGGTATGTTTATTCTAGCTGAACCGATGAGACTCGGCCCATTCAACCGTGCACCGTAACTTTTAACCCTTTAAACACGCGTATTTTATCTGGAAATTCACTTTGCAGGAAATTTCCCACCCAAGAGAGAGACCGAGTAACACTTTTAATTCCATATCTCTTCCATTTTTTCTCGTTCGTTAAAAAATCAGCGGTTCTTAACGCGTTCATTGCCACGTTGGTCACCTGTCACCGGAAATTGCCTCCTCGATGGAGCCACGGTGGTCAAATGTTTAGAATAATTGAAACAAAATGAATATCTATGGGGTTGAAATTTGGAATTGTGATCCGCGTTCGGAAAGTGTATTTAAAATAGTAATTTATTAGCAAAAGTAAATGTTTACGTTAACTATAAGCCACGCTATTTTCACTTCACTATCTATTCCACGCTTTCTGCTCAAGCTCTCTTCTCTTCCAAATCTTCCAGTTTCTCAAGAAACGAACGAGCGGAGGCAAAAACATATCGTCGACTAAAAAATTTTTAACATCGTAGCTAAATAGACAATGTTTCAAATTAAAAGAAAAAATAATAATGTAGTATCGGGGCCTCCATACTCAAATAGGGAATCGACGAAGGATAATAGAGAGGGCGTTATTGGCGTAGCGGACAAAGTCTCGGCTTGCCAACTCGAAGGTCCCGGGTTCGATTCCCGGTTGGGTCCCCAAATACTTTTTCTTCGATTTCTTCAATAATAAAGCGTAATAATCATCAATGCAATATTAAGTAATGAAAATTCCAACCCTCTGAGAGCAATACGTAAATCTGAGGTGGAAGTGAACGTGTTAACGATCGTTTCAACCCATCCACGGAGATGCAAATTGTAGCAGTCAGCTTTCTTCGCGTTCCCGCATGGCTGGCTTGCAGTCCAGTTGTATCTCGTGCTTGAATTAACACTGAAGCAAGCACGCACGCGGGTTGATAACACACGAAGGCAGGCGGCCTGTAATCGTCGCACGTTTTCGCGAATTATGGTCGTACAAGCGTGTGTTACACGATCCTCTGTAACCTTATGCAGGAGGAAACGAGGAACGAAGGAAAAGCGTCGAAGGAGAGGCTTTCGTCCACCAGCGACGTGTTTCACCGTTGGATCTCGTACGGAAGAAAAGCCTTTGTATGGAAATTGAACGCTCTGGCCAACGTAGTTTTCGAGGAAGTGATAACGGCTAAGTGTCGAGCAAACAGGTATGGTACCTCGAATGCTTTTGCTTTGGCCGGTGTTCGGAAAGTAAGGGTGAAACGAGGATGACACTCGAGATTGATTCACGATCTCGTGGTTTATTCCCCTGACTGGCGGTTTCCTTGTGAAACCACGTTGTTGATAGACTCGAGGAATTTTGTCAAGTTACAGATTTAGGGGAAAGTGGGGAAATTACGAAGACCTAAGGAAAAAGGTAGTAACTTTGTTATCGTTTATATACAAACACGTATTATCTGTTTGTATAGTTTTGTAATGAACTTTAACAAAATTTAAAAATAAAACCAAACCGTTGCTGTTCGTGATTTCCTAACTGTCGCAGGGTAATCATGAATGCTACTTAGTTTCTTACAAAAGTCGCATAAAAAAAAATCGCTGCACTTTTCGTAATGCATAATCCATTAGCATTGAACGTTAGTATTAAGATAATTATACTTGCAAAAGCTATACTTGTTTTACTTTCTTCAAAAAAATTAGACGATGACGAGCAAAAATCTTCGATAGTTTTTACCTCGATCAGTGTGCCTGTCGATTGTTTTGCATTGGTGACCTAGCGTTGCATTCGGTACAAGCAATCATGTGGCAAAAGAAGGAATTGTTCATGCTTTTCTAGGACTATATATGTATGTATATGCGAATTCGAAATTACCCCACGTTACTTTCTACAAGAAAGTAACACAAGAGAATATTCGTTTCTATTCGAGGAATTTAACGAGAACGTTAGGAGAGGTAAATGGTTCGTGTAGAGTACTTTCGTGGATAGAGAACTTTCATCAGGGGTTATGAAATTTGAAGAAAGGAGGGCCAACTCGCACGTCCCATTCGCGCATATTAACAAACGAAATTGCTCGTTTACTCGGCATCTTTTCTCCACTTTGCTTCTTCCAACCCATTTTCCGCTTGATGAGCTGATATGATCCTCGCACTTAGAGCTCCCTTATTTCCTCGCGCTATTCTGTAATTGTCTGCGCCAACAATGGCGACTTGGAGGGAAGATGGAGGGAAAAGGTAGCCTGTAAACAATCTGCTCTGTTATCTCCCATTGTCAGGCGTAACGATTTCTATTTTTACTAGCTCGATTCCTTTTATCTCCCTTTTCACTTTTTTACAACTTTTGCTATAATTTTACACATGTAAATAACAATAGAGAATAGTTGTTGAATTTATTCGTCATATCCTCTATAAATGTGATTGAACGTTTAGAGAAATTGGTTGGCTAAATTATTGGGTACGGTAGCTTCTATGTTTCGCCAACAGAGGGACAATTAGCACTAACCTTTCTCACTGGTGCCCGCTAAGGCTCTTATTAGTATATATATACTTTCTAACGTGAGTCTAAGGGTCTCCTAGGAGATCCGAGATGAAACGCATCTTTCTTTCCTTTACCGACCATCCTCTTTCTATTTATTTCCTCCATCCATAACCAACCACCATAACTGTATCGTTCACCCTGTTCCAAGGGTTCTGGGGTAAGTGCCGTGCTATTCTTCACAACCTCTTACCAGAAAGCACCACCCTTGCCTTCTCTCCCCACTCTGTCTGCCAGCCTTTCTCTGGAAACAAAGTTCTCATTCTTAAAGCAACATTGGGGTTGTCCCTAAACTTTCCACATGCTTTCTTTCGAGCAATCAATCTTGTGACATCTCTTGATATTAGGTATTGTGACTTTGAGTCATAAATACACTCGAGAGTTACATGCTGACTTAGTACCTGCTGTGATGGCTAAACTAAAGTCCATCTCTCTGGTTCACCCTTGTTTTCTGCAAGTTTCTTGCGTATTACTCACTGGAACCTTGTGTTCTTGTTGTTGGTTGTCAAGCTCTGCAGCTTTAGATCGTCTGTTAACGTAAATCATGTCTTCTAAACGGTACGACGGTACAAAAATTTGTATCTGCGAGCCTCAGGTGAGTCCATGGATGTGATAGTAAGTTCTCAAACAGTCGCACTGTTATAAATCAAAAGCAAAATGGCGAGGAGTTTAATTCCCTTTGAATACACGGTGGCTAACACAACCAATAACACCACTCGTGTAAAAAATCCTCAAACAATTTACACATTATCACCAGATCTCACTTCCCTCATATACCATCCTCAAAGGGAGACAACTTCCTCTTTGCCTTTTCCCTGAAACAACACGGCCAAGCGTCACCAGCTCGCCATCAGTATTTACATGTTCATTCTCGTCTGCAAACTTTCCTTTCGACGGCGTCGCGCGTCGAGTCAACTCAGCCGCGTCGTCGTCATCGTCGTCGTTGAACGACTCTAACGGGACAAAGAAAACTTTCGTTTCACCGAGCCTTGGCGCTGCTGCACCTTTGAAAAGGAGCAATCAACGTGGCAAACGGCGCGAGCGAGCGCGCACGCGAGAAATCTTGCCTCTGGTCGTTAAGCGGCGCTGCAAATCCTTCAGGCCACGAATTATCCGTTTCACAGGATAACAGATAAGAGATAACGAGCTGGCCACCAGGCTGTTCCAGCCGGCGAGAGAGAGAGAGAGAGAGAGAGAGAGAGCGCGTTCCTCTGTGCACGAGTCGGCCATTTGCATAGCCGCCACTTGGTCTACGGATCGCCCGTGAGCTAGCCGCCAAAGGCGGACCATTACCGTTTGTATTCATGCCCGAATCTCCCCGGAGGACGCGAGTTAAATCACCCTCCGTCGATGACGATTTGCTCGTGTGACTGGATAATTTATATTTCGCACAAGATGTTCCACGGAATATTCCTACAATTTCCAAACGAGCGTTATCCGAGTTATCGCGTTAAACATTCGGGATCTCGTGTGTCGGAGATCCAAGGATATCGAAGAACACACGGTTTGTCTCTAGCCACCAAAACATCCCGAGGGAATTTCTTGCTTGGAAAATTCGTACTCTCAGCGAGAAACAGGATTTTTACCACGATTTTCGTGGTGGTGGTCGTCGATTACACTGGGACAGTTTACTTTTGATCGATACACTGTCGACACGTTGTCGACGATGGCACACGGTGCTAGGCAATTTGTGTCGACACATTGTCGACGATGGCACACGGTGGTAGGAAACTTGTGTCGACACGTTGTCGACGATGGCACACAATGCAAGTCAATCTGTGTCGACAATGTTTCGACGGCAGCAGCGAAGGAAGAAACTAAGATAACGAGGCCTTTAAGAATTTTTCTATTACCATGTGCAACAACGAATAAAGAGATTTTGGTGGAACATACGTGTGTATTCTGAGTAAGTTGATTGGAAAGTGAAAGAAAGGTAGGAAAGTCAGAATTGAAGCTCCACTGTCTGGTGTTTCTTCCATGATTCAGTTTATGAGGAGTACGCGTGACAAACAGCCCACGTCAATTGGGCTAGAGTCCCTCAGGTCTCGTAATGTACAGGGTATCCCAGTTGAAAGAGGCCACTTAAATATCACCTTCCTCTTTTACGATACCAGAAATGTTTGCAGGAAAATTTGAATGGTTTCGAAAGAGGAGTACCATGGAAGAAATGCAAGACAACACT